TTATCTTTCAAGACATAAACCAGCTCTTTAAAGACATCACAGGCAGCGGAGGTCTGTGTTCTCCTCAAATACTGTGGAATCTGGCTATGAATCCAGAGTTTAGGGAACAAATTTGAACCTTGTCAGGTGTCAAGAAAAGGAATACACATCTCAGAGATTGATATGTTTCTCTTCTTTGGCCCATTTAAGGCTTGGTTCTGCCTTCTTTAACAAGGCTCGCAGTGGCTGTGGAACCAGGGTCTGTGGGTGACAGCCTGGGGCCTGGATTCCTGTGGCAGGAGGCCCCAGGTAAGACAGACACTCCCCATGGTCTTGGGGTGAGCCTAGGGGGCACAAGCAAAGGAAAGGCTCTGAACCTTTTGGACAGTTTCTCAGACTTGTCATTATAAAAGACAGAAAAATAGCAGACGAAAGGAAAAGGGGGTAACATCAAAGAAGTTATTTTAACGAGCGAGTGCATCATACGGTCGGAATCATAACCTGAAGCTTTCCAAATGACCCATTTGTATGTTATACAACTTGCAGGATTCCTGTTAAATCCCGCTCTTGAGGGACTTTCTGCATCAGTTTTTTAAATGGTACCCCACCCCCCTCATGTTTGGCTTACCCCTGGTGTATTTTACTGCCGACTCCACAGTGCCTCCTGAAGCCCTTCTGCTGCCCTCTCCCCTGCTACGTGGTCTTCCAGTTGGCCTGCTGTTCCTATGATTCTCCTTCCTTGCTCTCTGAAGGCTCCTTTTCCTCCATCCTCCCTTAACTGTAGATATTTTCCCCTCTGCTCAGTCTACATGTGGTGTTCATTGTAGGATTGCAGCTGTCTCCACGATGATTCTCAGATCTTGAGCTCAAACCTGGACCTGTTTTCAGAGCTCTAGACCTACATAACATTGCTTACTAGCCATCCCTACTTAGCTATCTCATGGTATCCTCCACTTCCAACGCCTCATCCTCTTTATCAAAATTGCCTGTTTTCTAGTGTTCCCTGTGTTAGCAAACGGTGTCACCATCTGCCATATGCCCAAAGACCCTTCCATCCTTATTCTCCTTTTATTCCCACGTACAGTTCACCACCAGCTTCTTAACTTCATCTTCTAAGCATGTCTCAATCTGTCTACATCTCTCCATGTCCATTGCAATCACCTAGACTCTGCTTCCATAATCTCTTACTAAAGCACTGTATGATACCTTCAATGCCATGAACTTGCCTTGCCTTTGTCTTATTTTTTGTCACTTCCTCTTTCCTGCTCTGTGCCCCAAACATTTTGAACTTTCAGTCTCTCCTCTGAGCCATTTTCACATTTACCTTTGGCTGTTGCACAAATAATTCCATGGGCCTAGAACAGGGTGGGCAAACTTTTTGAATTGAGGGCCACAATGGGTTCTTAAACTGGACCGGAGGGCCGGAACAAAAGCATGGATGGAGTGTTTGTGTGAACTAATATAAATTCAAAGTAAATATCATTACATAAAAGGGTATGGTCTTTTTTTTTTTTTTAGTTTTATTCATTTCAAACGGGCCGAATCCGGCCCGCGGGCCGTAGTTTGCCCACGGCTGACCTAGAACATACATTCATCTGTCACACACTCTCGCTCTTTTCCATGCTTTTTCTATCATCTCTTGTCATTTATTTAATTTATACATCTCTTCCTTAGGGAAACATCCTCTGCTTTAGGCAAAGTTAGGTTTCTTTGTTATCTACATATATAAAAGCTGGACTACCTCATCAAATACATCAGATATCTTATTGGTTGCAGTTATTTTTTCCTGGAGAGCATACCCATAAACTGGAACCTTCTATACAGCTATCAATCTGAGTTTGATTCAATGCCTCCTCTTTCTGATGGATTCCTTGTTTGTAGGTTATATATTGAATTTTTTCTTGCTTTATATCCTTGGTTGGTGAAATTCATCCTCCTGGAATATCATGAGGATGGATGATGCATAGAAGGATATCTTTTAGGAAAACTTGCATATGTTAAGATGTTTTTATTCTGCCTTTGCACTTGATGTATACTTTGGCTGGGTATAGAATTCTGTGCTAAAATCTTTACCTCTTAAATGTTAATACATTTCCCTAGAATTTTCCAGTGTCAACGGCTGATGTTGAGAATTTTAATATCATTTTGATTCCAAATAATTTTTAAAGAATTTATGTTTGTCCCTCTGTACCTGGAAGCTTTTAGAATCCTTTTCATTATTCTTAGATTTCTGAAATCTCATGGTGATGTGCTTTGGCAGAGATCCATTTTTTTTTTTAACCATTATGCTGAGTAGGTTTTTCCAACCAGAATATGCATATTCTTCACCTCAGGGACATTTTCTTATGTATTTTCTTCCCCACCAGTTTCTTGGTCTTATCTTTCTCATTATATTGGAGTTCCTAGATTGATTAATTTTTTTATCTTTTCTATTGTCCATTTATTTGTCTTTTGTACTTCTTTTTAGGGTTTATTTATTTTTAACTTCCCATTATTTTATTGGTTTTATTTCAGATCTAGAGTTTTCCTGGTTCATTTTCTCCTCAAAATAAACTCTTTGATCCTGCTGGTGTTAGAAAGTGGTAGTCACTTGGAAAATATGGATTGATAGACACATTAGGGCCTACTGTTCCTTAAACAGTGCATTGACCAGTCATGGACAACTGCCTTTGGTGATACGTGGTGCCTGCAATTTCTGAACCTCTCTGATATTTTGCAGCATGAGCTGGCTTGCTTTTCCATGATGTCTTTTACTATAGGCACTTGGTATTCAACCATAACAGCTTTGCTAACTCTTCATCAGTGTTCATCTTCCAAGGCATTCATTACATCTCTCAATATACTACTGTATTCATACCTGTTTTCTTTAACCTTGTGGTTTCATACATTTTAAAATTCATTATTATTTTTCTAGCATTTCAGAAGTAGATAAGGATATATGCATGTGTTCGATTTTCCATGTTTAATTAAAACCACTAATTAGTTTTTACTAAAGATTTAGCCAAATTTTCTGATTACTGATACCTGGAGGAGAAGTCTCAATTTGAGTTCTGGTTCTTGACCTCCTTTTCCACCTCCTATCTCCTCTTCCACTCTGTCCTTCTTTTCTTCTCTCTTTCTCTCTCTTCTCTCTTTTCTCTTTTGTTCTGACTCACAGATAGGGTCTCAGCTGGTCTACTCTATTTGGCTTCAGAATCTTCAGGCTCCATCTGGGTTTTTCTCAATTTCTTAATGTCACAGAATTATCGCTTGCTAATTTATTATGAAATAAATTTTATTTTATTTTACTGCTGCTTAAATGGATCTCAACTTATTCTTTAAATCCTCCTTTGATGATGATGGTGGTGGTGGTGGTGGTGGTGGTGGTAGTGATGATGATGATGATGATAGAGCCAGTGATAGATATATATTTAGTGAGCTCTTAGCATGTACCAAGCCCAAAGTGTAGCATGTTACATAGATTATCTCCTTTAACTAACCCTGTGAGCTATTTAACATTTGCTCATTGATAAGAAAGTAAAACTTCTGGAGTTTTAATAACTGGCTTAAGAAACTACAGCTGGTGAAGTGTGACTCTGTGCTTTAAACAACTATTTTCTGACCTCAAAAATCAGACTTTATCCACTACACTATACTACATCTTCTTGATGGCAATTGATATTAGAAAGACATTGATTAGAACATAATTTTTAATTATTAGATTTCCATAAACTGTTAGAAGCACTTTCTAACAATAGATGCCTAATGTTGACAGGAGTGCTAGTCTGGAAATAGCCACACAGGAGGGGCATGATCTTGTGTGAGGAATGTGGAGGGCGGGGGTGGTGTCCTGCATTTAGATGGAACATGGACTTAAAAATCCCTTTAAATTCTTCAAGTCTATCTGTTCTTCTGTTCTCCTCTAGACTATCTCCTAGGAATGTTCTTATAGAATAGTTAGCAGAATTGGCAGCCTGCTCCTTCATCTAATTAAATTGTCTATATATTATACATCAATGGGAAGTATGAAAAGACTATGCCCTCAGGTATATTTTAACATTTAATATTAACATGATAATAGCTACCATCTATTGAATACTTACCATGCCCAGAAACTGTAATAAAAATTATATAAATTTTCTCTCACTTATTCCTTATACAAACCCTAGAGGCTGAGCCATTATTGTCTTGTTATCATTCTAGACCAAAAAAGTCCTGAATGTGATTGATTTAGTCTGCTTGGGCTGCCAAAACAAAATGCCACAGACTACGTAGCTTAAACAACAGAAACTTATATTTATCAAGGTGCTGGAGGCTGGAAAGTTCAAAATTAAGTACTAGAAGAGTTTAGTTTCTAGTGAGGGCCTTCTTGCTGGCTTGCAGATGACCATCTCCTCACTGTGTCCTCACCTGGTAAACGCAGAGAGATCACTGTATCTTCCTTGTTTCATAAGGGTACCAATCCTATTGGTTAGGACCCTACATTTATGACCTCATTTGACCTTAAAGACCTCCTGAAAGCCCTGTCTCTAAATACAGTCACATTAGGGTTTAGAACTTTGACATGAATTGGGAGGAGATTGATTTCAACACATAGCAGTGGTAGACAGTGTTTTGCCTGGCTTTAATGGAAAGATGGTGCTATTTGTGTTATTAAGACCTGAAAAATGTTTGACTTTGAAGGAGAGCATCTTTCTGCTATTTTCTGGACACCCTCTCTTCCCCATGAAGAGGGCAGGCAGGTCACCTGCTAGATGATAGGACTATCTCAGTATTTGGCAAACAGGGCCAAGTCTCTTATTGCTTATTAAAATGCAAGAAGAATTTAGTTTCTTTCATGATCCTTTGTGGGGGAGCCTTTCATTATCCTGATGAAGACCTTCTCAGGTTGTCTTTAAGAAAAAAACAGTCTCCTCCATACCCCTTTATCTGTCCTTGGATCAGAGATAACTTTAGTGTCAACACTTAAGTTTCTCCTTTCTGTCTGCAGAACTAACTCTGTCTTCCAGAGGCTTTTGGTGACTGGTCCATATCTTTTCCAGGAAGCTAAAGAAACTATTTCGGAAGCTGAAAGATGAAACAGAACCTGGGGAAACTGACTCTGCCCATTCAAGGCATCCAGAGCAGTGGGACCTAGACTACAGCTTGGAACCATACACTGGACTGACTCCAGAGTACATGGAAATGAGTAAGAGCTAATGATCTTTCCTTCTGCTGGATGCAGGTTCAAACATGTGGTCTGGGAGAGGAGTGAGCAGAGGGTTAGGGAATTGACTGGGACAGGCACTGCACCTTTCTGGGCTTCCTGGTTACACAATGTCACCTTCAGTACCACATAAAAGTAAAGGAGTGTACAGCAGAAAGAATCCTGGAATGAGAACCAGGAACAACTCTTATCACCAAGTTGATACTAGGATGATGCTCTCTTCTCCTTGAGCTTCCTCTCCTCATCTTGAAATGAGAAGTTTGGTCTCTCCGGTCCCTTTGCATGGCTCCTAACATCTATAAAGCTGAAAGAGAAATAGTGAAGTCTGAAATTTAAGGACAGAGTTTCCATTAAGGAAAAGTAAACTAGTCCTATCACACTTGGAACTTGAGTTATATACATCTTTGACATGGAGAGTACAGGAGAGTCCCCCACTCTGATAGGGTAGGTCTGGGTAAGATGTCAACTTTTCTTTAAAAAACCTGAGGATACTTAGGGGTGAGAAATAGATTTCTAGTTACCGGGACTCCGGTTGTTCTTGAATAGGCTTTAAAACAGGAGTGCATGTAGGACAAACTGATAAAACACAGTGGTTTTACATGTGGTTCAGAAGCCATGAGTTTTCCATTATGAGAAGTGTCCCAGCTTAGACCAGCTGCCTTCAAACGCCTGGCTACTTGTGAATAATTATGATCTTTTATTGAGGTGGATATTTGAGAATCCTCTTTGCAAGACTTGGAACTAATGAATTAAAAATATAGGACCAAGAGGTCAGACATATAATCTAAACATTTATTCAATCTAGAGTGTTGGAAAAACATCAATCAGATCCAACAAAAGAATAACTCAATACCTAATATCATTGTATTTTCATGATGACTCCTGCCTACTTTGGTTAATCACTTTTAATAGAGGGCCACTAATGCCCTTCTGGGCATCAGGTACTTTACATCTTATTTCTAATGGATATTTATCCTCTTCTGTGTTGTGAAAGTGTGTGTGTATGTGTGTGTGTGTGTGTGTGTGTGTGTGTGTGTGTATTAAGGGTAGAGAAAAGGACTTATTCCTTACAGCTTTAGATGACCTCAAAATTTCTGTTCTAGCTCTGGGGATCTAAAATTCCAGGCAAAACCTGAGCTTTGTATTCTAAACTCACCAGAGAAGAAACAATCATTGTGTCTGTTTCAGGAATAATAGGAGAAGAAAACATCAAGACCCAGTTTATGTAAACACATAGCTCCCTTATGCTTTTCACCTTTAGTTAAGTGCTACCTCTAATCCCTCTCCAACTAGATATTTACACAGAGATGATTACTTGTATTTAAGATGCTATTCTATGCCTACCATCCTCTCAGTAAAAATTGGTTGCCAGAGATTTGAGGCTTCGTTTGGAAAACGTTTGGAAAACGTTTATATGAGAAATCTTTGAGCCCTGTCTCCCAACCTCCACCCTCCAATTCCAGTCCCCTCCCATTTCCACCCCATTATCTGTATAGGTTTTACATGGCTGTCTGTCCAGATAGCTATTTCAAAGCTTTCTCTTTTGAGTGATTAAGATCAAAGACCCTTGAGCCACATGCCTTAGGTTCAAAATCTAGCTTTATCACCAACTAGCTGGGCAGCTTTAAGTAAGTGGCCAACCTTTGTGTCTCAATTAGCTTTAGCTTTAAATAATAATAATAATAATAATAATAATAATAATAATATCTACCTTATAGGATTGTTGTATTTAATGAATCAATATCTGTAAAGTTCTTAGAAGAGTGTCTAGCACATATAAAATCTATGTGAAGTGTCAAGTGTTGTTTCTCTTAATGGCCCTGGGCCCTTGGAAGGCAGAGTATAGGGAAATATGCTCCAATTTGTGAGCCATTGTATCATTGAATAGACAGCCACTCTGTCTCAAACTTGGGTAATTACAAATTCATGAGAAGAGGAAAAAACAACAACTAGAAGACTTGGTGATTTCTGGAAAAAAATCACACCAAGAGTATAGAGAGTGAAATTGATTCAATGGAGGAATCATTAATTATTTGCTTTTCTGTCTCAGCATTGCATTTGATACATACACTGATGATGTATCTTGCAGAATCATGGTAATATTGCTCACATATCTGTTCTTCAGCAGACTCACTCTATTAGATTCCAAAGATCAGCCAGTAGGGACTAAGGTTTATTACAATATTCCTCCAGAATATTGTACATTTCCTGGCACATAACAGGCAGATAATATGTCTGATAAATAAAAACAAACGAATGAATTTATTTTTAAATTTATTATGGGGACATTGATCAACACGATCATGTAGGTTTCAGGTATGGTTTCTATGTTACAAGATCTGTATATTGCACTGTGTGCCCACCACCCAAACTAAAATCTTCTACTGTCGCTATATAGTAGGACCCCCTTCTCCCCCAATCTCCTTCCCTCTGGCAACCACCACACTACTGTTTATGTTCACGGGTTTCCATTTTATGTCCCACATATGAGTGAAATCATATGGTTCTTAGCTTTTCCTGACTGTCTTATTTTACTTAGCATAATATTCTTAAGATCCATCCATGTTGTTGCAAATGGCAGTATTTCATCTTTTCTTATGGCTGAGTAGTATTCCATTGTGTATATGTACCACATCTTCTTTATGGAGTCCTCTATCACAGGACACTTTGGTTGTTTCCATGTCTTGGCCACTGTGAATTTATTAATTATTAAGGGAAGGTTTCTTAACAGAAGTAAGTTTCTTATCATTTTAAGTGGCAAGTGAAGGATCATTTTTCAAAGCAGGGCTTGGTTGATGGTGGTACAAGGATGTTCTGAAGAGTTTTCCAATTCTGGGATGGAGGTAGGACTTGATCTCCAAGTTCCATTCTCATTCTGAGGATTTGCATATCAATAATAAGAGTAAGGTAGAGTACGCTAAGGAAAAGGGCTGGCAAGTGCAAATATTGTTTTTTAGGTAGAAAGGGTTCAGGTAAAGATCTGGGATTAACAGAGAACCTTGAAGATCAGACAAGTTTACATTTCATATCAGGGCACAAGGAACAGTTATGAAATCTTGGCTAATGCTGTGACTATGTATGAACTCTATTTCCCTTGAGGAAATGGGCAACAAGTATAGAAGGGAGATAGTAAAACCTAAGGAAGGAATGAGGTAACACAGGTAGACTCATTAATTTATTCATTCATCAAACATTAAGTACTTAGAGGAGCAAATTTGAAGACCAGAAGAGTCTCTTCAACAATTCAAGTTGATATTGATTCAGTCAACAATCTGATATTGATTCAGTTTTGTCTGGATGAGGAAGCCTGGATTACACATGGGTTTTCTAAGCTGGGTTTCACAGAAAGTCCATCACAGAATTCGGTAGGCCATTTTGCTGTCAATCCTTTTAGAGATGTGGCTATTTCATTTCATATTTTATATAAGTACAAGGACAGTGATTCTGGGTTAGAGTCCTTTCATTCTTTTCATCTCTGGATTATCCTCTTTGCCCTTTAAGTATTTGCCTCTAGTTTTAATCAAAGGCTGTAGAATAAACTTTACTAAATGATAGCTTCATCTAACAGTATAGGTAGGCTAAGTGTGGTTAGAAGCAGGTTCTGGAATCAAACCAACCAGCCTTTGAATCTTAAGCCTGCTGCAGCTAGTTACATGACTCTGAGCTTGATATTTAAGTTCAACCAGGCCCAATTTGCTCATCTCAAAAGTGGGGCTGATGATAACAGCACTTACCCTATTAGGATGGTTCTGAGAAGTAAGTGATGTATATAAAGTAGCTAAAAAAAACAGTGCTTGATGTACATAGGTTTTCAATGAATATTAGCCACAGTTGGTATTGTCAGGAGTCCAGTTTCTTTCTCTTTAATCCAGAAATGGACTAAACACGGTGTGAAGCCCCTGAATGTTGTGAACCCTGGAGGGTCTTCCCACCCCATTAGTGTGAGGTTGGGTAGTAATGTTTAAAGACTGAGGGTCCCAGACTCCCAAGCAAATCTGACTCACCCTCAGAAGCCTGAGATATAAACATTCCAAGATGTCCTTTCAGAGAATCTCAAGCCCTTAGGACTCTACATGACAAGTCTGACATCTCAAATGTGTTCTTTTTGTCATTTGTTTATCATAACCCACAAACTTTTGTTCTTCTAGTCATCCAAAAAATAATTTATTGTACTCCTGATTCAGGAATTCAGTTATCCTTCTTAGAGTCTTCTGCCAGCTTCTTAAACACACCCAAGCTCTGAGGCCCTTGGACTACTAATGTGGGGAATGAGATAAATTTCTTCTGTTATTCACAGAGTCATTAGAGGAAATCTCATTTTGCGCAATCCTGAGTTTTCATCCTGTCAAATTGTAATAGAATAAGAGGTGTATTGATGATTGCATATTTACTTATTCATTTATTTGGAGTGAAAGCCAGATAATTATTCTGAAGGGCCAGGGGCTGTTGGTTTCCCCTGCTCTTTGGGTATGTACACCAAATCCTGTAAGAATTGCCCAGCTGATGGAAATGCATGGGGCAGGTCCACCTCAGGGACCAGGACATCAACACCCTTGCAGCTGCATCGCAGTGGTCTCATGAAATTGTAAGCTTGGACTCCTGGGTTTAGGAAAGCATCCATGACTTGATATAGACCCTGTGTTCTCCATGACTCTTCTCTGACTTTGCATCAACTCGAGTTGGCTAGAAGCCTGCTCAGTATGATCCTGAGTCTTTTTTGCTTATGGCTCCTTACCTCACTAACTTTGCCTCTACTAAGAATTTTGAATTCCTATTGAAGTCACTCCTCCTTGATCTACTACAAATACCTCCTAACTTATCTCCCAGCTTCCTTTCTCTCTCCCTCTTCCCCTTCTCCTTCTCACTTTTAAAAATAACTTTTCTAAAATGCAATCCAGAGCATGTTATCTTTTCTATTTAAAACCCTTCAGTGTTACTGACTTTAAGATAAAATTCAAGTCTCCTAGCATAATATGAACTGG